CGTAATCGTTTGTACCTGTCAGTGTACTGTACAGTAACCGCTAACCGAATTACGTATACAACCATTCACGACAGACGTAGCGTGATGTTTTGGTGTGTAGACAGGTCGAGCGTCACCAATTCATCATGAAACCATAATGAGCAATCCCGTGAATTTGTACAGCAGTGTTTAAAACTGTGTAGAATAGACTACTAAATAGCTATCGAGCTTGTATAACCCATAATTTGAGTTATATACGGTATTCCCTTCATGTTTCAAGAAAGAAGATTCAATTATGTTTCTATGATAGAACTGTTTGGTACAATAATCTGGACAGCAGCCCACCCCGGTGGGTGATTACAGGACCTAACGTGGTTAAAGAAAGCGTTCGACTCCTACCCTGTCCTGATTGAGTACTTATGTTGGGCTATTCTGGTTTCCAGAAGTTTACCTGTTTGACCAATGCATGAGAGAGGACACTGAGTACATGGGACCTTGTAAACCCCCACCAACTTTGTTGGAAGGTGTGTTTTTAATCAACCTTTGTTATATATATATATATATATATATATATATTATATATATATATATATATATATATATATATATAAACACATCGGCTGATTCCCACCAAGGCAGGGTGGCCCGAAAAAGAAAAACATTCATCATTCACTCCATCACTGTCTTGCCAGAAGGGTGCTTTACACTACAGTTTTTAAACTGCAACATTAACAACCCTCCTTCAGAGTGCAGGCACTGTACTTCCCATCTCCAGGACTCAAGTCCGGCCTGCCGGTGTCCCTGAATTCCTTCATAAATGTTACTTTGCTCACACTCCAACAGCACGTCAAGTATTAAAAACCATTTGTCTCCATTCACTCCTATCAAACACGCTCACGCATGCTTGCTGGAAGTCCAAGCCCCTCGCACACAAAACCTCCTTTACCCCTTCCCTCCAACCTTTCCTTGGCCGACCCCTACCCCGCCTTCCCTCCACTTCAAATTTATACACTCTCGAAGTCATTCTGTTTCGTTCCATTCTCTCTACATGTCTGAACCACCTCAACCTCTCCTCGGCCCTCTAGATAATAATTTTGATAATTCCGCACCTCCTACTAATTTCCAAACTACGATTTCTCTGCATTATATTCACACCACACATTGCCCTCAGACATGACATCTCCACTGCCTCCAGCCTTCTCGTTGCAACATTCATCACCCATGCTTCACACCCATACAAGTGTGTGGGAATAACTATACTCTCATACATTCCCCTCTTTGCTTCCACGGACAAAGTTCTTTGTCTCCACAGACTCCTAAGTGTACCACTCACGTTTTTCGCCTCGTCAATTCTATGATTCACCTCATCTTTCATAGACCCATCCGCCGACACGTCTACTCCTAAATATATGAATACATTCACCTCCTCCATACTCTCTCCCTCCAATCTGATATCCAATCTTTCGTCACTTATTCTTTTAGCTATCCTCGTCACCTCGCTCTTTCCTATACTCACTTTTAATTTTCTTCTTTTACATACCCTACCAAATTCATCCACCAACCTCTGCAACTTCTTTTCAGAATCTCCCAAAAGCACAGTGTCATCAGCAAAGAGCAACTGTGACAACTCCCACTTTGTGTTTGATTCTTTATCTTTGAACTCTACTCCCCTCGCGAAGACCCTCGCATTTACTTCTCTTACAACCCCATCTATAAATATGTTAAAAACCACGGTGACATCACACATCCTTGTCTAAGGCCTACTTTTACTGGGAAATAATCTCCCTTTCTCCTACATACTCTAACCTGAGCTTCACTATCCTAGTAAAAACTCTTCACTGCTTTCAGTAACCTACCTCCTATTCCATACACCTGGAACATCCTCCACATTGCCTCCCTATCCACCCTGTCATACATCTTTTCCAAATCCATAAATGCCACAAAAACCTCTTTAGCCTTATCTAAATACTGTTCACCTATATGTTTCACTGTAAACACCTGGTCCACACCCCCACCCCCACCTTTCCTAAAGCCTCCTTGTTCATCTATCCTACTCTCCGTCTTACTCTTAATTCTTTCAATAATAACTTACGCACTTTATCAGGTATACTCAACAGACTTATCCCCCCTATAATTTTTGCACTCTCTTTTGTCCCCTTTGCCTTTAAACAAAGGAACTATGCACGCTCTCTGCCAATCCCTAGGTACCTTAACCTCTTCCATACATTTATTAAATAATAACACCAACCACTCCAAAACTATATCCCCACCTGCTTGTAACATTTCTATCTTTATCCCTTGATCACTAACATACAGAGGTTGAAAGCCATTATATATAGGCGGAGAGTGAGGTGAGAGTGGCGCATGGTGACCTGAAGAATGTCATGTTGGGATGAGGACGGGTAGACGATGAGATCATGTGACTCCTGTGTTGAACATCAAAATGGTATACAATACCGACAGGTTGTTAGGTAAGACACATATGCAACAGTTAGACAACTTTATTCCGAAACGTTTCGCCTACACAGTAGGCTTCTTCAGTCGAATACAGAAAGTAGGCAGGAACAGTAGAGATGTGAAGACGATGTAATCAGTCCATCACCCTTAAAGTCGTAGAATTTGAGGTTGTCAGTCCTCGGCCTGGAGAAGTTCAGTTCATAGTCAGGAACTATCAGATAGTTCCTGACTAGGGGAACTGAACTTCCCCAGGCCGAGGGACTGACAACCTAAAATTCTAGGGACTTTAAGGGTGATGGACTGATTAAAACGTCTTCACATCTCTACTGTTCCTGCCTACTTTCTGTATTCGACTGAAGAAGCCTACTGTGTAGGCGAAACGTTTCGGAATTTAAAGTTGTCTAACTGTTGCATATGTGTCTTACCTAACGACTCCTGTGTTGTTGGGTTGGTGTCCACATGATCTATGTGTACCCGTCCTCATCCCAACATGACATTCTTCAGGTCACCATGCGCACTCACACCTCACTCTCCGCCTATATATATAATGTCTTTCTACTTCTGTATGTTAGAAGTGATCAAGGTCCCAGGAAAACGAACGTTTTCTAATAAATATGTCATAGTATTTGCTTACGGACTTTCTAAACCATTATATACATGCAATAAGATGACAGTAAACAGGTGATATCAAAATATGCAAAACAACTACTGTGAATGAAGAGCGAGATTCCAAGCCCTTTTCGTGATTTTCACATTATCAAGGAACTATAAAGGGGCAAAAATCATGGGAAGGATATAAAGGGTCAAGACTACACCTCACCATCACGTCACCACAACAAAGCAACACCTCACACACGCCTGACGACACCCGACTGTGAAACCCACCTAATATTCTATATATCCTTGGCTAGGCCTTATTTAGACTATACTGCACAGTTCTGATCACCGTATTACAGAATGGATATAAATGCTCTGGAAAACGTACAGAGGAGGATGACAAAGATGATCCCATGTATCAGAAATCTTCCCTATGAGGATAGACTGAGGGCCCTGAATCTGCACTCACTCGAAAGGCGTAGAATTAGTGAGGATATGATCGAGGTGTATAAATGGAAAACAGGAATAAATAAAGGGGATGTAAATAGCGTGCTGAAAATTTCCAGCCAAGACAGGACTCGCAGCAATGGTTTCAAGTTGGAAAAATTCAGATTCAGGAAGGATATAGGAAAGCAGTGGATTGGTAATAGAGTCGTGGATGAGTGGAACAAACTCCCGAGTACAGTTATTCAGGCTAAAACGTTGTGTAGCTTTAAAAATAGATTAGATAAATACATGAGTGGGTGTGAGTTGGACCTGACTAGCTTGTGCTGCTGGGTCTGGCGTCGTGCTCCTTCCTTGAGTGGAGGTGACCAGACTGGGTGGGTCATTGGGCTAATCGGGGGGGGGGGTCATTGGGTTAATCGGGGGGGGGACATGGACCCGCTCCGCATGGGTCAGTAGGCCTGTTGCAGTGTTCCTTTTTTATGTTCTTATGTTCTTAATACTTTGCCCAAGAATTTAAATTTATTACTTGTCTAATGTATCATGAAATTCTTCCTAAATTTTATTAATTATATATGAATCCAATTTACATAAACCAAAGGAAACATTCACATAATTGTCAAAACAGCTTTTTATGAAACATGATTCAATTATATTCCTGTCAACCATGGACTTGCTTGATACAATTTTCTCAACCTTTTGAAAATCAACTGGATGGTTAAAATCTCTCACACGAATAAATAGAGCATTTATTCACTTATGTTTCATAAAAAGCAGTTTTGACAATAATATTAATATTTCCTTTGGTTTATATAAATTGGATTCATTTATAATTAATAAAATTTGGGAAGAATTTAATGATATTGCGAGTAGTCACGAAGGCGTTTGAAATTTCATCATTCTTTCACAGTGGTTGTTTTGCATATTCTGAAATCACCTGTTTACTGCGATCTTATTGCATATATTTATATTTAAATTTATATATTTATATTATATATATATATCTATTATATATTTATATATTATATATTGTCCGTGACGATAAAGGCAGAACTTGCGATCTTGGCTTTAAATGCAACGGTTCATCTTGTCACATAGGACTAGCGAAAATTTGTGTATGCAATAATTTCGCCAAAATCATTCTGAACCTAACGAAAAAAAATTATTTCACTGTGTTTGTTCATATGAAATTACGTAAACAAAATCTATTAATATATTTAGTTGGGTTAGGCTAAAATAAATTGATTTGTTATAATAAGGTTAGGTAAGTTTTTTAAGATTCTTTTGATGCAAAATTAAAATTTTTTACATTAACATTAATGAAAAAAATATATCTTTAAACGTATAAGAGAAAATTTTAGAAAGGACTTAATTTTAAATGAGTTCTTGCTAATTGACCAGTTTTACATATTCGGCACGACATATATATATATATATATATATATATAGGCCGGAAATTAATATTAATATTACAGCTTTACATTTTTCTAATCTTTAATATCGTCATTATTGTCACCTTCCAGGGACAGATGTCATCTGTGGTGCTGGCGGTGCTGGTGACCTCTTGTGTCACACAGTGCTGGGCCAGCCCACAGCACAAGTACCAAGAGGGAACAAAGGAGAAGCAGCAGCCTCCACACGACACAACCGATGCCGTCTACAGAACCCCGGTAGGCAGATTCATACAGAATATTGCCGGCGACAGCAAAGAATATTATCTTGTTATAGGAGTCCTGTGTTGGAGCAGCTTCTGGGACTGTGTTAAGGATTATCAAGTAATTTCCATAATTTTTAGAGTTCAACACGGCTGAAACATTCAAATATAACTACATATTCTGCAATTTCTTTATTCTGCAATTTCTTTCGCATTTTATCTTTCGTGTCTTAGCGGGAACGAAAACAGTTGAAACTTGGGTCGCTTTAAGTCGGTGTCTGGCAAACTTTGTCAACTTAGATATACAGTATGAAAGCAACATTAACTTTACGAGCTTAGATCACTACATGATCAGAGAAAGGAATCCCTGTGTCCAGTAAATCCAGCCTAGTCTCTCCCAGAGCACAGGAAAGAAATAAGACAAGTGGAAAACAAGTTTCAGATTCAATTAAGTATCAGCATTAAAGTTTATACGCAAATAAAATCCTCACAAAATATCACACAAACAAATATCCCAACGCATTTACAGAAATATCAAATAGGTTCCTACACACCCAATACATATTCGATCCTTCTACTAAGCAGGATAAACCCGCTTTAAATGACTCACGAAATCGTAATGACACGATTGCAAACAAACCATACCACGGGCGGGATTTGAACCCGCGGTCAGAGAGTCTCAAAACTCCAGACCGTCGCGTTAGCCACTAGACCAGCTAGCCACAATAACATTCGTCCAACTAGGTATATTTCTACACCATAGGAAGGTTAGCACAGGCACCACTGTGACCACAAATGCAAGTTTTTTACAGCTAGCGTGGCCGTGACGAACTCTAGCTCAAGTCAACATGCATTTGTGGTCACAGTGGTGCCTATGCTAACTTTCCTATGGTGTAGAAATATACGTAGTTGGACGAATCTTATTGTGGCTAACGCGACGGTCTGGAGTTTTGAGACTCTCTGACCGGCTTTAAAGTTTAAAGACAATCACAAGAATCATTCTCCAGGTTTAGCACACAAAAAAATATTGGAAATACACTTAACACTGTAAATATGAAGTTGGTCAGACGAGTTATTTACAAATTATCATACGACAGCCAGATTTTATTTTGTCTATTTAAAAAAAAATGATAAATGGCCACCCAAACAAACTAAAATATATTTAAATATTTCTAAATAATATATACCAGCAATTAAGGGTTGAAATCGATCAGAAGAAACATTCTCCAGTTATATCACAGAGAATAATTTATTTAATCAATTATTCTGTGAAATAACTGGAGAAGCTGGTGAGAAGACGAATTCTCAATAACCAACAATTTCAAATTTATTAACTTCGTTAGCAAATTTCTATCTATATAACCTAAAGCCAAAAGATATTTTTATGTAACGCAGCTACATTTTTTCAGAGAAATAATTTGAACATGATTCTTCGATATATAATTGAATAGAGGGCGCTTACACATGCACCTACACACATGCACCTACACACATGCTTCAATACATCAACACTTGCACCAACACATTCATCAACACATGCACCTACACATTACATAATTACATTATTTAACTAAAGCAGCTATTAATTTTCTTAAAACTAATGAAAATGTTTTTCTCTGTTTATTTGGCCCAGTTAACCTTTTTCCACTCAACCATCACTAAAGTTCTCCCCACTACAGTTACCATCACAAGAACCTCATCAATTACCACACGATCTACAACTATTACCACTAGAGAACAACTGTTACCTCAACCACACCTATCATTACAACAACCACAATCACCACAACAATCACTGTTGCTATCCCACCTCAGCCGTATTTCATACTTTTGGTTACCTGGTACATAACTTCTGGTTACCTGGTACATAACTCGTTAGCTATGTCTATATCTAGTCGACTTTCGTCTTCCACATCCAGTTGCTGTATTACACTTTACATCTTTCTCACCACTGCAGTCCATGCTTATTTACCCTTATTTACCTTATTTCCCACCACCACAAGCCTATTCGACTTGCAAATATGGAACTTCTAGCATTTCTTACAACTACGTAAGCCCATAATTGAAACACCAGTAATCACCACTGTTCTATGTTCATAATATTCAAAAATATCATAGGCTCTTCCAACTAACATAACTTATATATTTATTTGGCACAGGAAAACCTATATTTTCCCCCTTTAAGACAACCACGGCCCATAATTGCCTTCACATAAATAACAGCCGTTGTTGCTCTTAGCCAATAATCACTTCTTAAATTAGTACCGTGCATAAAATAATTTGTATCTAAGAAAACTACTCTTGTTTTCTGCCACAACCTGTACTGTGACCTGTGACCAGGAGGCCTGGTCACAGACCGGGTCATGGGGGCGTTGATCGTCGATACCCTCCCCAGGTATAAGTCTACTAAAAAGCATGAGTAGGACTTTTCTTCTTATCCCATGTGACTTTTTCTTCTTTTAATACAATAATCCAGACGTAAACTGCACCGGAGGATTTTTCTTGTCGCCCCTTAATCATTCCCTACTTTGATAATAAATATCATTCTTTCCTTTTCTCCCACCTTTCTCCCTCCTTCCATCCCTCACAGTCTTGATACATCATAAACCATTCTTACTTCTCACCATCACAATTCGCACACACCTGGAGCATGTTGACAACTTGAGATATTTTCTCCACCACAGTATTGTCCGCCGGAATCAAACTTAGCATTTGAGAAAATAGTTTTATTAATCATCAAGAGTTAAAACTACCATTGCTCATACCATGGACAAGATAAACTTCCATTGCCCTAAGAAACTACCATTACTTTTTTTTTCCAAACCCATCCATGAAATGGGAGAAATCATCTTCGTATTTTCACAACTCAGACAAAATTAGCACATATATATACTCGCCCTTAATTCCCATCATACGAAGGTGGAACCACCTGTATATTTTGCTTTCTATCACCAGTTATCTCTTCTAAAAACTATATATAGCACAGTCTAAAGCATCCTTATTTCCCAACACTGCCACCTTTTCATGACACAGAAGTCACCGTAATTTTCCCTTACTACATCCCTAATACTTTCGTGGCGACTCAACAGTTCCTCGCTTAGCTTAGTACAAACTAATCGTAATGTTACAAAATTCCTCAGCATAAAATAGCTCGTCTGAAATCTGATATAATTAGTTTGCAACACGGAAGGCTCATTTCCAGCATAATATAAAACGTAATTGCTACTTATCAGCACAATTTTCATTAATTGTGTCGTCAAGGTAGCCTAAACGGAACTGATACATGAGAACGTACTTTTACTCTTCCTACTGAACAGTTACCACCACCACCATCTATACCATTTGTTGATATTTAAAAAAAAATAACGGGAATTGTTTTTACAGACTTGAAACAATATATTATTTTGAAGACAAAAAAATATTTTTTTTTTCAAATGATTACTTTTAAACACACATCCTTTGCTAATGCGAATGGTGAATTTCCTTCTACTTTACTAACTGTGGGTCGTTTGAGGACAGTGACATGCGTAATGGAGATCAAATATCTACACTATTCTTGTACTTTGTCTTAATAACATTCAAGGGTGAGAAAGTTCTCCTGAAGCATGTCGAAGGGAATGGAAAGAGAGTTTTCAGAGCAGTATCAGCATGTTCATAGAGCATTCTGCTTTCATATGCTATAATATGTACTTATATTTTTCTTTTATACAGGGTACAGATGACCACAAATTCGAATATCATATGGTGGAGGGTGCGCCAGCATGGAACCAGCGCAGTCGTGAGTGGAATGATGAAGTAACTACAAGCGGCTCTTATACCGTCAAACTACCAGACGGCCGTGTTCAGAGGGTCACTTACACTGCTGATGAACACGGCTTCAGACCAGTGATCACATATCAACACCCTGAAGGAGGCACTGACTATCACGAATGGAAAAAAACGAATGTTGAGAAGAAAGCAGAAGGAAAATCCCATGACAAAAAAATAACGATGGCAGAGGACGGGAAAGATTATATGAAGGATCATCACCATCACTTGAAAGTGGATTATAATTTAGAAGAGATGAGTAAACAAATTAGTCCACCTGCAGAAAGTCCAGAAAGTCTATATATGCCTTTTAGTGAGGATACATCAGTTCACACTCAGATGTATGATTCCCCAAGACATAGTTACAGTCCACACAATATTCCAATGATGGGTAAACATCAACCAGTAGCAAGCAAGTCCTCTGAGACTTCCCCTTCGCTTAGCCAACATGCCACGAGAAGCTCACTTTCTACTACTTACATGGCAGAGAAATATCAACTCCATGATCAACCTGAATATATGAAAAATATTGGATCTTCAGGTGCAAAGCATAACCAAGAGAAACCTATGATCTATCGCTTTAATTCTCCACGTCCCACCCATCAGCCGATGGGTTCACGAAATTCAGAATACATGGACATGAGGAAGCCGACTAATGGACAGAGTAAATCGTATATGTTAATGACTGATACCGATATGACTAGACCAAGCGACAGTCTCCATATGAAAGATAAAAGCATGAAGCAGGATGTTAACACGAAGAAGAACAAAGAAATATACAGACCAATATATCGTCAAGACATGGATGACTTCGAAAAGATGAAACCGTTTCCATACTTGTCGAAGATGAAGCCAACTGAACACAAAAAAGAATCATCAGATTCGTCGAAAGAGGATGACAAAAGCTACGAAGGCAAAGAACCATCGTATATGGAGATGATTTCTTCAGTGTTGCCTCCTAATAAGCCATTTGTTGCTTCCAACTATTACCCTTCGTCTTTATCTTCGCTTATCTCTTTCCCTTCTCTCACTGTCAGCCGTCCTCGTGGATCTTCCTTCGCTGCGCCTGAATACACTCCTGATTCTATCCATCTGCTTGAAGCTTCACACAAGATGGCTGCCATGAAACATCCCTCCTCTCCATCACAACCCAGAGGCTACCATCCTCAATCAGTCTCACCACCATCTTCATACGATCATTATTCGGACAACCACAACTCTCCTCCTCAATTTACATACCTTCCATACTCATACCCTCATATTCCACCTCATCACCATCCCCATCGTTCCTACTACAAGCCCTCAGCAGCATCACCTCACCAACTGTCGCACTTTCACAGCTTGACAAGTCATGCACAGTTCCCATCCACCAAATCTTACTCATCTCAACTGCATACCTCTCACCCACCTACTGTACCTCATTCTTTCTACGCTCATCCACATGAAGCTCCTGAGAACATTATGAAGACTGGAGATGGAGATAACATGAACTGAACACTAACAATGGCTGGGTCCACCTCACTCTCTGAGTGATTACTCATCCCGGGTTACAAAAATTAAAAGCGTTTGCATAGGTGTCCATTCTTAACCCCCAGTATATAATATATATATATATATATATTATATATATATATATATATTATATATATATATATATATATATATATATATATATATATATATATATAAGTCATGGTATCGTTGTTTAAGAAACAGCAAGATGACAAATTTGAAATATAAACAATATTATGTTTCGACATTAATGAGTAATGATCTTACGAGCAAAACGTTCTCTAGTTATTATTTCTAATGTGGTGGGAGGGGGTTGGTGTGTTCCTAATAAATAATTTAAGTATCCATGGAGAGTTTATTTTAACATTTAATTTCAGAATGAGAATGCATATAATTGTGCTTTATGAAGCTAAACAAGACTTTCCTCCTAACACAAACCTAGCTAGTTTTATCGGGTGGTTTTATTGCCAGATGTACAATATATTCTCCACAGCAACTGTCAGAAGGTTTCATGAGGGTTATTAATTGAGAAACGTTTATATTATTTTGTGACTTGAAATGGCCGTCTACTTCTAATCCGTCTTTTGCACTGTCACACAGACAGACAGACAGACAGACAGACACACACACACACACACACACACACACACACACACACACACACACACACACACACACACAGGTATGATAAAGCTCATAGTGCAGGGAGAGTGACCCAGTAGCGGCCAGTGAAGAGGCGGGGCCAGGAGCTATGAATCGACCTGTGCAACTAGAACTAGGTGAGTAAACACGGGGTTCAGTGGGACAGAGCTGAGGAGAAGTTTGTATCCAAGGATAACAGAAATAACGAGAAAGCCAGAATGAGCCCTTGGTTCACCCAAAGGTGTAGAGAGGCCAAAAAACCAAGTGTGCTAGAGAATGGAAGACGTATAGAAGGTAAAGGACCCAGGAGAATAAGGAAAGCAGTTGTAAAGCCAGAAATGAATATGCACAGGTAAGAAGGGAGGCCCAACGACAGTACGAAAATGACAGCAGCGAAAACCAAATCTGACCCGAAGCTGTTGTACAGCCTCATCAGGAGGAAAACAACAGTCAAGGACCAGGTAATGAGGCTGAGGAAGGAAGGAACGGAGATCACAAGAAACTACTGCGAAGTATGTGAGGAGCTCAACAAGAGATTCAAAGAAGTGTTGGACACAATACAAACAACCGAGGAAGAAGTGAAGAGGCTGCTGAGTGAGCTAGATACATCAAAGGCGATGGGACCGGATAACGTCTCTCCATGGGTCCTGAGAGAGGGAGCAGAGGCACTATGTGTACCACTAACAATTTTCAACACATCTATCGATACAGGGCGACTACCTGAGGTATGGAAAACAGGAGATGTAGTACCAATTTTTAAAAAAGGACACAGACATGTAACATTAATCAACAGACCAGTGTCACTGACATGTATAGTATATAAAGTCATGGAGAAGATTATCAGGAGAAGAGTGGTGGAGCACCTAGAAAGGAATGAGCTCTTCAACGACAGCCAGCACAGTTTCAGGGATGGGAAATCCTGTGTCACAAACCTACTGGAGTTCTATAACAGGGTAACAGCAGTAAGACAAGAGAGGGGGAATGGTGTGCAGACTGCATTTTCTTAGACTGTAAGAAGGTGTTTGACAGTTCCACACAAGAGGGTATGAAAAAGTTGGAGGACCAGGCAGGGATAACAGGAAAGGCACTGCAGTGGTTCAGGGAATAACTGTCAGGAAGACAACAGTGAATCACCTGTGGCGAGTTGTGAACGACATGACGGAAGGAATAGACTCAGAAGTGTCCCTGTTTGCAGACGATGTGAAGTTGATGAGAAAAATTCAATCGGGCGAGGAGCAGGTAGAACTACAAAGGGATCTGGACAGGCTGCAGGCCTGGTCCAGAAATTTGCTCCTGGAGTTCATCCCTACCAAGTGCAAAGTAATGAAGATTGGGGAAGGGCAAAGAAGGCCGCAGATGGAGTATAGACTAGGGGGCCAGAGACTACAAACCTCACTCATGGAAAAGGATCTTGGGGCGAGTATAACACCAGGCACATCTCCTGAGGCGCACATTAACCAAATAACTGCTGCAACATACGGGCGCCTAGTAAAAATAGGAACAGCATTCCGACATCCCAATAAGGAATCGTTCAGGGCCCTGTACACCATGAATGTTAGGCCTATATTGGAATATGCAGCACCAGTTTGGAACTCACACCTAGCCAAGCACATAAGGAAATTAGAGAAAATGCAAAGGTGTTCAACAAGACTAGTCCCAGAGCTAAGGGGCATGTCCTACGAGGAGAGGTTAGGGGAAATCAACCTGATGACACTGGAGGACAGCAGAGATAGGGGGGATATGATAACGACATATAAAATATTGAGCAGAATCAACAATGGACAGAAACAGGATGTTCCAGAGATGGGACACAACAAGGGGGTCACAGTTGGAAGTTGAGATGAATCACAGGGATGTTAGGAAGTATTTTTTCAGTCACAGAGTTGTCAGGAATGGAACTGTCTGGGAAGTGATGTAGTGGAGGCAGGACCCATACAAAGCTTTAAGGAGAGGTATGATAAAGCTCATGGAGCAGGAAGAGTGACATAGAAACGACCAATAAAGAGGCAGGGCCAGGAGCTATGAATCGACCCTTGAAACCACAACTAGGTGAATACACCCCCCCCACACACACACATACAAATACACGAATGTATATACATCAGGTCTAGTGTCTAATCTACATGTACCTAGAACAAAATGGTAATTAAAACACACACACACACACACACACACACACACACACACACACAAAACAACACCCACACACAAACCACACCACACACACACACACCCCAACAAACCACACTCACACTCACAGCACCCTCCAAAGCACAAACCCATCCTACACAACAGTCTGGCTCCCATAGTACCCTGCTAAGTCTCCCACTCCCCCAACCCCCAAAGTACACAAGTGCACACGAAGTAATGAATAAGTGCGAGGAGTGGCCCAAAAGAATCGTGGAGGCATCTCCGTACATTATAGCACTCACAGAAACAAAGCTCATGTAAATAACAGATGCAACATTTCCATGTGGATATCAGATTCTGAGAAAAGCTAGAGGTAACAGAGGGGGTGGATGAGTTGCACTGCTTATCAAAAACCAGTGGGGATTTGAGGAATTGGAAGAATCAGTCAGAGGGGAAAAGATACTACATAATAGGAACACTTCGGACTGGGGGCCCTCCAAGGTGGTGATTGCAGTGATGTAGAACCCACCACAGAATAGCAAGAGGCCAAGACAAGAATATGATGAAAGTAACAGAGCAATGGTTGATACATTAGCTGAGGCTACCAGAAGGGCCCACTTGGGCAGGACAAAATTGCTAGTTTTGATTTCAGTCATAAGGAGACTGACTTGGAAAACCTGGAGCCACATGGGGTACCAGAAATGTGTAGAGCTAAGATGATGGAGGTGGTATTGGAAAACCTCATGCACCAACATGTTAGGTACACTACCAGAGAAGAGAGGATGAACAAGACTGGGCTTCATATTCACCTTAAGCAGTTCAGACAATGAGGACATCACATATGAAAGACCCCTTGGAGCAAATGATCATGTGGTCCTGAGCTTCGAATACATAGGAGAGTTGCAAGTGGAGATGGAAGCAGGACTAGTAGGATGGGAGAAGCAAACTACAAAAGAGGGTACTACAAACACATGAGAATTTTCATGCATGACGTTCAGTGATAAAGAGAACTCTTGGGAAAAATCAGTAAATGAAATAATGGAACACATGACAACAAAATGCAAAAGAGGCAGAGGAGAGGTTCGTACCCGTGGACAACAGAAATAATGAAGACCAGACGAGTCCCTGATTCACCCAAAGGTGTAGAGAGGCCAAAACTAAATATGCAAGAGAATGGAAAATGTATAGAAGACAAAGGACCCAGGAAAATAGGTAGATTAGTCGAAGAGTCAGAAACAAATATGCACAGATAAGGAGGGAGGCTCAGCGGCAATACGAAAATGATATAGCATCGACAGCCAAATCTGACCTGAAGCTGTTGTACAGCCACATCAGAAGGAAAACAACAATCAAGGAGCAGGTAATCAAGCTGAGGAAGGAAGGAGGGAAGAGCACAAGAAACGACAGAGGTGTGAAGAGCTCAACATAAGATTTAAGTAAGTATTTTCAGTGGAGACAGAAAACGACTCCATAAATGTGGAATGGTGGCTTACACTAAAAAGTGTTGGACACAATATGTACAACAGAGGGGGGAGTGAAGAGGCTGCTAAGTGAACTAAATACTTCAAAGGCTGTGAGACTGATACCTCTCTATGGGTTCTGAGAGGGGGAGCAGAAGTACTGTATGCACCACGAACAACAATCTTCAACACATCTATCGAAACACGGCAACTACCTGAGGGGTGGAAGACAGCAAATGTAGTCCCAATATTTAAGAAAGGAGACATTCAGGCAGCATTAAACTACAGACCAGTGTCACTGACATGTATAGTATGCAAAGTCATGGCAAATCCTGTGTCAAAAACCTACTGGAGTTTTACGACAAGGTCACAGAATTAAGAGAGGAGAGAGAAGGGTGGGTAGATTGTATTTTCTTGGATTGTAAGAAGGCTGTCGACAAAGTTCCACACAAGAGGTTAGTGCTATAGCTAGAGGAGCAGGGACTAATAACAAAGGCACTGCAATGCATCAGAGAATACCTGACAGGAAGGAAACAACGAGTCATGGTACGTATCGAGGTGTCAGACTGGGCACCTGTGACGAGCGAGGTTCCACAGGGGTCAATCCTAGGGATGGTGCTATTTCTGGTATATTGGAAAGACATGAGGGAAGGGATAGATTCAGAGGTGTTCCTCTTTGTAGACAATGTGAAGCTAATGCGAAGAATTATATCAGATGAGGATCAGGTAGGACTACAAAGGGATCTGGACAGGCTGCCAGAATGGCCCATGCAACTGGCTCCTGGAGTTTAACCCCACCAAGTGCAAAGTCATGAAGCTTGGGGAAGGTCAAAGAAGACCGCA